GAGATACTCTTAGCGATATTTTTCGAGAGAGGCTGGATATACTTCAAAGACTGTCGAATGCGACTAGGCAGAAAATGATCTACGTACAGATTTATTTCGACGACATCTTCGTCCATAGTTGGGCAGTGCTTTAAGATTCGACGTGGGCGCCCATTTTAAATGTTTGTGATTCTTATCTGCGCGTATGCGGTCACAGAAGTTGGTTACCAACAATGACGCCAAAAGGGAGCTAAAGTTGTGGCGTGAATAAGCCAATCACTCACAATGGTAGTACATAGTCGTGTTGAAATAGCACAGCCTCCCCGTAATCTATATTAATAGTCATCGGATAGAACGGGGCTGCGCAGAGAAAGCGGATGCAAGAACTGCTTATATGCGATCCAAATGTGGTCTTTTACAAAAAAATATATTAATTTTATGTATTTTTTGGCATGGGCTGTGCTTTCTTCCGAGCATACGCGGTCGTGAATCGAGCGCGTAACGCACTTGAGTCACGTTAACTCAAAGCTGCGTCAAAGAACTATCCAATCCATGACAAGGATCTACTTGGTTTCCATATGACCTCGTCTAGTTTCAGGTAGATCTCCTTGGCGCTAAGCCATTTATGACCTATATCGATCATCTGCTGTTGCGCTTGGTGAGGTCGCCTCATTGTTGGCGAAAGGGTCAATTTACGTTTTCGAGTATACCCTCGGGAACGGTTTGCTTAATGCGATGGCGAATGCGCGCCTTGCATCACAGCGGATACAATTCGTCCTGTTTCATGATGGTAACGTCGAACTTCGATGTGGCGGTTCGTACTCGGATCTTACACACGTTGCATTACTGAATGCCTTGACAAGAGAGGTTTCTTGAACTTGACCGCCCTCAAAAATGTAGCTGTATGCTGCTTTTTGGATTAAGCAATTCTGTATCACTGCACTTTTCCTTTTAGCCAGTCTGCGTATGGACGAGGGCGACGAGCACAGGATACTGTACAATGCACATGATATACGCTTAGGGCCACCTCGTTCAGAAAGGATATATGGCACCACGAATGTCATTTTCTGGTATTCTACTATCTATTATTAGGTATGCACTTATCTGCGATAATACAGATGAACCCCTCATCGTATCAATCGGCACACTCTAGTCTAGTGTGGCGGTACCAACAGAATGCGTGCAGTTCGTATTTGTGATTTTTTTTGATCTCCCAAAGTCGCGTCCGGTAATAATGACATGGATGTTTACGTGGACCGTCTGCTTTTAATATCTAATCTTGATGCTGTCAGCTACAGCATTACTAATAGGATGCGACCAAGTTGTTCTCTGGCATTTTTTTCTGACGACCTGGCTTGTCAGGTGGCATTGTTTATCATCAAGATCTGCGTTTTGCCGATTCAGCAAACTGTGTAAGAGGTGCTTATGACTATATTGAAAATGTCTACTTCTGACATAGGGTTTGACGGAACGCGTTGACCGCGTGATAAAGGGTATTTAACAAAGTACTTGCTCGTAGGAACTGCGTTGCTAGAGCAAAATTCTCTCACTTCGCTAAAAGAGATGCTTCAACTTGTTTAAATCTTTTTATTTATTAAATTGGTTAGCATCCCGATTTTTTATGCCTCCACAAATCTAAGGGGTAGTCCGTATATTCGCCAAAGATGGATGACCATCTTGCCATTCTCATTGAGAAATGTGGTGACCCGGTGGCGTGGGTCGAATGGTCAATGCTTCTGGACCTAACGTTGTGTGGCGCGG